CAATACAAGGATCAGGAATGAAGATCAAACCAACAAAATGCGAATTCCACAAGGAAGAAACAGAATACCTTGGATTTATTATCAATCGAAGTGGGGCCAAGGTCGACCCTGTTAAAACAGCAGCCATATGGGATTGGGCCAAACCAAACAACAAAACAGATGTGCAATGCTTTATGGGATTCTGCAACTTTTATCGAAGGTTCATAGAGGGGTTTAGCAGACTTGTAAAGCCACTCTATAACCTAACGAAAAAAGACAAGAAATGGGAATAGGGAGAAACGGAACAAAAAGCATATGATGCAATACGAACGCATCTAACATCGGCATCCATATTGGTCTATTTCAATCCAAACCGAAGGACAATGATTGAAATAGACGCCTCAAAATATGTATGCTCAGGCATACTATCGCAACAATGCGACGATGGAAAATGTAGGCCAGTGTCCTATCGATCCAAGACAATGACCCCCGCAGAGTGCAACTACGATGTTGCAAACAAAGAACTATTAGCAATAGTTCAAGCATTAAAAGAATGGAGAAAATACGTTGCGAACAACGACCATCCAGTCCGAGTTCTAACCAACAACAAGAACCTGGTGCCGTTCATGACTACGAAAGAACTGAACGACCGCCAGATAAGATGGATGGAACACCTTAGCAAATACAACTTCAAAATCGAATACCGACCAGGCAAAGAAAGTGGATAGCCAGATGCTCTCACAAGGATTACAAGCGACAAACCACAAAAGAAAGAAGACGAAAGGATCAAACAAAAAACACGGACCCTATTACCAAAAACCTACTTCGAGGCAATGGAGGTTATCCAATTCATATCAAAGGAAGAAAGAGGAATCGAGGCCGCAAACAAGAAAGACAAAACAATCCAGGCAATAAGAGAAGCCTTAGAAGGAGGAAAAAAGGAGATGAAAGGAATTGCACTGGGATTATGCCAATGGAAGGACGGAAATATATGGTACGATGGAAAACAGTGGATCCCGGAAGAAGAAGAGATAAGGACAGACATCATACGACAACACCACGATATCCGAATGGCAGGACAAGGAGGGACTGCTAAAACCACAGAATTCATCACGAGGTCATTCTATTGGCCAGGACTGCGCGAAGATGTCAAACAATATGTCAAAAACTGTAACATATGCCAGAGGACGAAAACGGCTAAACACGCACCATGTGGATTACTAAAATCAAACGAAGTCCCCGAAGAACCATGGGAAACAATTACTACGGATTTCATCACGGACCTACGAACATCGGAAAATTGCGATAGCATCTTGGTCGTGGTGGATCGCCTGACCAAAATGAGTCATTTCATTCCGGTTAGAAAAGACATCAACACGAGGGATTTTATACAAACATTCTTCTGAGAGGTCTTTCGACTTCATGGCCTCCCAAAGAATATCATTACCAATCAAGGAACACTATTCACATCGGGACTATGGAAGAAAGTAACCTGAGAAATGGGGATACAAAACAGAATGAGCACACCGTTCCACCCACAAACGGATGGACAAACGGAACGGGTAAATGCAATACTCGAACAATATTTAAGGGCCTATATCAATTATCAACAAGATGATTGGTACAAGCTGTTATCTATGGCCGAGTTCGCATACAACAATGGAAAGCAAGAAACAATTGGCACGACACCCTTCTTCCCAAATTACGGACAACATCCACAAAGTCAGACCACATATCATACGATTAATGATGTGATACCGGATAAAACCGATATGGGGAAACTACACGAAACATTACAATACGAAATGAGTCAAGCACAACAACGACAGAAGGAACAATATGATAAGCACCGAAGACCAGATCCGAACATACGACCAGGAGATATAGTATGGCTAATACAATGCAATATTCATACAACACAACCATCAAAGAAATTGGACTACAAGAAAATAGGACCATTCTGGATTCTGGAAAATGTGGGCAGCCGAGCTTATAAACTCGACCTTCTCCCCTCAATGCGAATACACAATACATTCCACATCTCACTCCTCGAACTACACAATGACACTAAGTTTCCTTCACAAAGACTTATTCCTCCCCCTCCAATCGAAGTCGATGGAGAACCAGAATACAAGCTCGACGAAATAGTCGATTCCTGCTTCTTCCACAGTCACCTCCAATACCAAGCCAAGTGGACCGGATATTCTCCTGAACACGATAAAACTTGGTACTTCGCATACAACTTTGAAAACGCACAAGATGCCATCTCAACCTTCCACCAGCGATACCCAGGCAAGCCCGGCCCAAGTGACGATCACGTTCAACCAAGGCAAAGAAGAGGGAAAGACTCCTGCGCCGTTGCAACAACACGAGGGCTGGTGCGATAGCCCCCACCAAACCACACCTACCAGTCCTGAATACTCATTCATGGGGCCAACCGACAAAGAACTCAAGGAAAGGGAAAGACAAGCACAGCATAACGCCATGTCATGGACGGTATGCTACAATGACGGTTGCTAAACACACTTTGGCGACAAGGAAGGCTCGGGATGGTTCCCGAGGGAATGCCGCAAGCGTGGCCCACACCCAGACCACGTCCTGAAGCATTGGCAACAATGCTTCAGAAATGGGTACAGGATGCACAGGGCACAAAAAATATCTGCGGGATTCTACCCACAGAAGGATGGAAGCCGAAAAGAGTTGGAAGAAGAAGATGCCAGAAAGGCATGGGCCGCAAGGATGCGGTCCAAGGAGGGAGGGGCCCAAAACTCCTTGGCAGAGATGGAACCGGATGTCAGGAGCCTACACAGGCAGATCCAGGGACTCCGAGAACAACTGGGCCAAGCTGAGGCCACAATTTCGGCAAACGACAAAATGATCGCGGAGCTCAGACAGCTGAACGACAATCAGCGGCAGACGATCGAGATGGCAAATCTGACTCTGGAATTGGTAAGGGTCAGATGGAGGACAGCAGACAAAAAGTTCCACAAGCTGAGAAGGACCATGCGCTCGGCAGGACGGGAACTATTGAAACTGGGAGAAAAAGCCTGATGGGACTCAGGCTTAGGGGGAGGGGAGCTAATGTCACGAACATGGCTTAGCGAGGAAAGGGTTTTTCACGTGACACAAGGTTATGAGTCACAGGTATGTTATTGTTTCACGCATATGACCTATTCAGGTTATATGATTAGTTATGTGTGGGATTTGTGATGCTTTCGCACATGGCTCAAGTATGAGTCATGGGACATGCGCCTGATGAGTATGCCTTACGAGTGTGCCTTACGGGCAAGCCTTGCGCAGATGATTTATGTTTCACACATGACCTCATTATGATGTCATGAGTTTCGTGCATATGACTCAGTCGAGTCATATGACTTGTTTATTGCGTTATGATTGGTTTATGAGTTTCACACATAATCTCGCTAGGAGATCATGGGTTTTGAGCATGTGATCACTTTGGTCACATGACTAGTTTGTTGTGATTTAGTTTCGCACATGTGACCACTTTAGGTCACATGACTAAAGGCGGGAAGAACACTATATAAGGAGGCCGATGCGGCCGAGGAAGATAGGTTCTTCACGCTTTGTTCTAAGTACTTTTCCTACTTATTACTTTAACGAATATAAAACACCTTTACGATCTTTATCTTTATTGCAACCTTATCAGTACGCCAAGAAGTGCTCCTCACGAAGACAAGTTAGAGAAAGCTTACGCTAGGCGTTCCCGATAGAAGACAAAGGTCTTGTACTATCGGTAATGTAGGCAGAGACCTAGAGCTATCGTAGGACAAAGAAAGAAGGAGACAGAACCAATAAGTATCATTCCCCGTCGCCAAGAACTAACTATACAGAGAGGGATCGTTACAGGACCCCATTATTTATACAGACACCTCACTCAACCCTAACCCTATATGACTCATACCTTCATGTCACCATATCCTATGACTCATAATCATGAGTCATGTGAGATTCTCAGTTAACTCGTATGAGTCAATTGTAAAACCTGCCTAAACCAATCATAATCCTTATAACAAGTCATATGTACTAAACGTATCACATGCATGGAACTCATAACTCATAAGTATGAGTCACACATGAAAGTCATAACATCATATGACTCACAACTGTGAGTCATCGCATAACAATAAACCCCTATAATTTGCAAGTGTGAGTCGCATAAAACCCTTTATTCCTTCTCATCAATCTGTCTTGTCACAATCCAGTTTGTAACAATAACACAAAACCAAGTATCAACACGATATTTAAAGCAAAATATAAAACAAAATCTTTAACCCAGTACCAGTACCAGTTACAGTGTCCCTTGAAGTAGGTATTGTTCTTGAAAAGTTGTATCAATACAATATTATCTCCTTCCTTACCTCTGGAGGCTGTGCAAGCCTAATTCTACTGTTAGATGTTTTGATCAACAAGTTTCTCAAGGCAAGTCTACAAGAGCTTACCAGCATGGTAATCTTCAAGGTGGAAAGCGTAATGGCTGTTCATTGATGGAGTGTTAGTGAGCATCACATCCTAACTATCTCTTGTAATGGGAATGCTTACTACAAGTTTCACCTTGAAAAAGGGAATTTAATTCAGCAAGCCTTTCAGAAGGTAGCATTCTCTTCTGGCTGATGAGAGTTGTGATTTGGAGCTGGACATAAAAGATCTTCAAAACTTAGAAATTAGGGATTAGTGCAATGATTATCAAGCTGTTGATACAACAACTAACCTTCCTGTAGACAATAATGATGATAATACAATAGAATTTGTTTAGTTTATTCTGTATATACAATTTATACTCCTACTCCTTCTCTGAAGACTCTCTCTCTGGTCAAAAAAAATCAAAAACAAATACATATCTCATTTGTCACTGCTGATCACTCACTCAATCCAGCAAGCCCAGGCCTTGCTAAGGCTATTTGTTATCCGCCACGAATTCCTCAGATGGCGAATCGCAAAAAGTTTTTACGGTACACTTGCCTTGCCGTACTCCATGGAGCACAACCTTAAACTCTCAAACAATGACAGCAAGAATGCAACGACCACCCGCAACCCGTGCTGAAGCTCTCCAGCGTCCGCGCGATACGCTCGCCTCTGGTGGAACAATTATCCGTGCTGGAGCCGGTACGTTTTAAGCTCTTCAATCGACCGAGGATCCCGGCTATTGAGGATGGGGGGGGGATAATAGGTATCGGTCCCACCGCCAAACCTACGGAAGCTGGGGGAGCCGATTTGATAATAATCTATAATTCCGGCCGGTACAGAATGGCAGGGAGGGGTCGCTAGCGGTGCTACTACCCTACGGCGATGCTAACGCTACTGTCTGCGACATGGTTACTAAATCTTTTACATTTCATGATACCTTATACCCGTTCCCCAACTGAATACCAAAGCGACTACGGTGAAAGAAGCCATCCCAATGGTACAACACACCCCATTCTCGCAGGCGTCTGCGGCACAAATCCATTCCCCAGCATACCCCGCTTTCTCACAGAGCTGTGCTGCCTCGGCTTCATCGGTGTGCAGAAGTTTCTCACGGTAGGTCCCATCGACGTTTTTTTTTTTGGCAGAACCTCGAAGAGCCTGGAATGGGTTTCGGCTTGGAGGTGGAGATGATCCGCACGGCGCACGAAATGGATATGCTCACGTGTCCGTATGTATTCACGCTGGAGCAAGCAGCGGATATGGTGCTCGTGGGCGCGGACATTATCGTAGCGCATATAGAGCTCACGACGAAGGGGAGAATTGGCGCCGGGACCGCGCCAACCGCGCCAGATCTGGATGGGTGTGTGATTAGGGCTCGGGAAATCTGGAATGCTGCGGTGGCGGTGAGGAGTGATGTGTCGGTGGTGTGCTATGGAGCCCCGGTTTCGGAGGTGGATGATGTGGATTATGTGCTTGATAAGAGTGCGGGTGTGCATGAGTTTTTTGGGGCTTGTTCTATGGCGAGGTTGCCGATTGAGGTTGCATTAGAGAAGACGGTTAAGGATTTTAAGGGGATCATTATTAAAGATTCGAGTGTTAGGGGGATTTGAGGGGGGACGTCTCGCGTCTCTACAGAAGCTGTAACTTTATTGCGTGGACCATGCCCTGTTTGCTATTCAGTCAGCGGTGGGCTTGTAAGACAAGCCATTCCACACTGCCAACACCCGCAAGAACTCGAATAACGGACCTCGCGATGGGACGTCGGATTACCTCTCTTATAATGGTCTGGAGTTCTTTTATTTTTTATTTGTCTAGGAGCGTAGATTCCGTTGTGTGCTTTTCGCCCCTTTTCCAGAGGAGGAAATTCTAGACCACCTATGCAGCATACGTTCCGTTTATTCGAGTTTTTACGGTATCAGTAAAGAACTGATGGAATGTAATGGTATCAGTAGCCGTCTTTTGCCAATTCTGAGCCCTCACCAGGCACTATGGTGCCTTCTATTCCCTTCTCTGCGCCCGCTTCTCCACCCTCAATACCGGTACCCAATTTCTCTTCACACTCCCTCCTCTCCCGCTGATCATCTACGAAATTCAGGCTCCGATAAACCCTTCCCCTAACTCTCTCAACCATAATCTCTTTCCCCTTCCTCTCCCACCCCGTATCAGCCCCCACCTCCGGCCCCTTTCCCGGCGCGAGCACAACAAACCACCTGGAAGACAAACTCAACGCATACAACAACCCCCATATCTCCCCCTTGGAGCACAAATGCAGGGCAAACGAACATATCACAACATCATACCTACCTCCCTTCAACCTGCCCTCCAGTAATATATCCTTAAAGTTCTCCTTCCCGCATGGCAGTCCCGTGCGGGTAGTATATAGCTCGTGCGTGTAGGGATCGGAGGCATTTATTATGGCAGAGGACGCAAGCGCTGGGCGATGGGTTTGTAAAAAACGGGTAGCCGCGAGGGTGGCTTCGCCAGACCCTGAGGATAGATCAAAGATCCGGACCGGGGGTGGGTGATTTGGGGGGATCAGGACTTCGAGAATTGCACGGAGGGACTTTGTGATGCCGGATTCGTGTGGGTTTCGGTAGGTGCTGGCGTTTTGGGCGTAGTAGGTACTGACGCCGGAGGAGTAGGCTTCACGGAATGATATGGAATCCATTGGTGCTTTTGTTCTTTTGTTTTTGTTTGTTTGATTATATTGCGGGGCGGAATGTAGGTATCGTAAGTCAAATTCAAGGACGGTGGGGTGGAGGGTGTTGCATCTAGGTACCTGGTGCCCAGGTTTTGGCTCGTCAGCGCGGCCAGTGAGCTGTTGGTGACCACTCTGTGGAACCCAGCGTATTGATTCGGTGGTCTCCCACCGTGCCGTGAAGTCCTTGATTGTGATGTTTTCCAGCACTTCAATTGAGCAGTAGAGAGAGCAGAAGACTTGACCCAGCATCCGCTACTAATCCTATGGTGGTGAAAATATTTCTAGGGCCGGGTAATCATCTTAAACGCCGTGTCCCCTAAAAACCTAAAAACATCCAAGAGAACACTCACCCAAATCACCCCAATCCTCAAATGGCGGATATGCTAGTGTGAAATATGCAAGATCCTTGTTGGACAGTGTGCCATAAGGGGATGATAGCAGATCCGGAAAATGATCCTACATTTCTCGAGATCCCAAGGATCAGTACACCACATTTGCCCTTCACCTGATGTTCGAATCAAGATGCGAAAATTGCCTACCGGGAACTATTTTCTAAGCATCAAAATCTGCCGTAAAATCTTAAGGAACCACTAGATATCTATTCGTGAGTCTCAGCCAAGATTTACCTTCCCCATTTGTAGTAGTGTGCAGGGAGGTCGTTCTTTTCTACCAAAGAAGTATAGTATATTGTTACTACAGTCGCACCTCGTTGTCTTGAGTGGCCAAAATCTGGCTAAAATCTAAGAATTTGTCTGGGACAGCGGATTATCCGGGACATCAGGTTGGGGTATGGCGCAAGAAATTTTTGAAATCAGAGAATTTCATCCGGGGCAACGGGGGATCCGGGAGAGTGAGGTCCGGGACAACGGGGTGCGAGTGTATGCAACAAGTGGCAGAAACAATTCATATTGTGTAAATAATATTGTATTGCAAGTAAGATTTAACATCGCGAAACTGAATTCTCCATGCCTAATGTAAAGAACCTTTCTAAGTAAACTAACCCCTATTTTTGCTCTTCATGTATGTGCACGAATGACCTTCAAGCAGTTGTCAGTTTGCCTTCAAGTCACTGCGCAATCCAAACCTGAATTCAAGAGAACACAAAATGCAAAATCAATTCTTAGAAAGTAATTCAAAAGGAGGTATGGTTACAGTGGAGGAAGCAAGACCTCAAAAAAAAACCCCCCACTCGGATTCTCACACTTGCTTTGGCTCCACACTTGGTTCGCCCGAATATGAGCAACAGCGAAATAGGAGGATAACCAGCCGTTAAATCAATCCGAGGATTTAAAAACAAAAACTTCCCTACCCATCACAATACTCACTCCATCGGACGAAGCGGAAACCGCGCCGTGACATTGGGCAATGCAGAGCAGGATGGGGCAAGTTGAAACCCACACTAGACGAACCGAGCCTCTCGTGGGAAAAGCACATTTTTCCTGTGCTAGGTTAAATTTTTTTTTTCCTCCTAGAAAATCCTCACCCGCTGGTATCTGGACCAGGGGTACAGTAGCTGTGGTAGACGTATGGTCGATAGGGTTGGGCGATAGTCAAATTACGTTGGGGTGTCCACTCGGCGGTTGTCTAGGCGCGATACGCACACCAGCATTGCATCTAGATACCCAAATCCTAGAGCGAGTCGCGTAAAAACGTAGCAAATTGGTACTATCTCTCGGACCGACAACACACCGAAACGCTGTGCCACCTCAGTCGGTTCTTGAGACACAGGTCAGCTAGCAGCTATTTGCTAAATCGTCAAATTTCACAGACGCGTAGACATCAGGTCATACTAACATTAACCTCATGACCATACGAAATACGCTGGTGTCACTGGGAAATACTGGGGTTGCCATTTAAAACCTCCTTAGTCATACATATCTCAAACAGACATGGACGGCACAACACTTCAATGACTTGCCAGTCCAAGGGATAGAATAAGGGGGGCTCCTGAAGTTTCTGGGCGTGTACGGTACCGCGACTACCGTACCGTACAGTGCCGTACCAGCACTCGAGTATCATACTCGAGCACTAGTAACTCTATTACAAAAGATCAATATATATGAAACGATTGGTCTGTGGCACACTTACCAAATCCCATGTGGTAAATGGAGGGTTTGTTGAAAAGCCTAAGTGTTCATGCTCGCATATTATCGAGAGAATACTCAAGTAGAATACTCCAGTTATACTCAGATGGCTCTCTTTGTTGGCCAAGTTTGATAAGCGTTCTTCAGAAGCTTCAGGAATTTCCCCACTTGCGGATATACTTGTAAAACCCAAGACTATCTCATAAATTTTCAACTTTTTTAAGTATACCTTGGTATTAGGATGAATTGTTGAAGGCTTGGATCTAGCGGGGGCTCTCACTTGATTAGGAAATTTAGCTCTTAACGGACTTGGGGGAGTGCTCTGATACCAACCCCCATCGATTTGAACAAATAGTACCAGAGTCGAATATTCTTTGGTACCGTACCGGTACCGTATATGAATGGTGCGCTACTGCTGGTAGCCCATTGCATCATGCGATTCAACGGTACTGTCTTAAGTGGGTAGAGGTACCAGAGGTATCATCCCTCCAGTAAAGTGTCAACCTCCTCCCATCCAGTGGACAGGTGTCAGGAGTAGGCAATTTACTCGAGTACCTTCTGGTACAAGTACTATCCTCCAAGAATTAGACAGTAATAGCATTTATATTATAATAACAGTACTCGAGTAAGCGACTTAGGTCTTTTCTTATCCCTGAACATAAGGGTACTTGTGAGTTGGTGATTCAACATATGCGGGGTACAGTACACGAGCCCCCGCCCACCCCCGATTCTTTGATCCAAGTTAAGTTACAGTACTGTGCTCGAGTATCTCCGGAATTGAGATCGGGACCGAAAGTTTCAATGTGGTGGCACAGCAGTTGTGCTCTTAGAGTTATCTTGCAGCGGGAATCGGTTGGTTTGGCCGGGTGGAAGGGTTTCTCTCCTTATTGCTGCCTTGCCATGCGAGACCCACTCGACTTGGCATAGTACGAGTAATACCGGTATTACTGTATTGGACTCCAGGCTGTTATCCAAAGTGAGAGAACTTTTGTTCCTGGCACTTTTGCAATGCTTTTTTTTTTCCCTTTTCCTCTCCATTTTTGTGCCTTTCGAGACGATTGCCCCAAGGGCTGAGCAGAAGTGCCTCAAGCGCAAGGAAGGGGAAGGGATAACCGACTCAAAAAAAAAATTTCATCAAATTAATGAAACAAAGCTTTCTATTCCCAGTTCCCCATTCATCCGAGCGATAGTCGTTAGTCCGCAGCAGCTGGGACGGTATCTTTGTAATACTGGCCGCGCGACAAAATACCCTGAAATCGGGTCCTAAGGCTGGACGAACCGGGAAAACGGAAGCCTTTTCAAGGTTAAATAAAATTTACCAAAATAGCAACTGAAGCGCCGGTAAGCTTTGGGCCCACTTGTGATTTAAGGTTAATCAAACTTCACCACACGTAACATGCAGAGGAATACTTGAGCATCTTACAATACCAAGCTTCAGATGCAGTACAAAACAAGATATGCAAGCACAGCCTCCGCGAGGCTGTAGCAATCCTGAGCAGCTTGTGGTGCTGCCGTAAAAGCTTTGGTGGCTTCCATCAGCAGAAATAAAAGCCTCCACTGCCTGCAGTTGTCTAGGCCTTCCTCGACCACAGATCTTCTAGAATGTTGGTATGGCGCGAAAAGTGGACCACGCTTCACCTCTTCACTCGGCTAATAGGACTAGGGAGCGGTGCAAGTACTGTGACCCAAAATAAGGCCTATTCCCTGCCCGATTAGTGGTAGCACAATCCAGTACCTGTGAGGTGTGGTCCGTTAGTAATTGTAGAGCATGGACATAGCATAAGCCATACATTTCCAGAACCAGCAACACAGTCCGTCACCCGGAGATTTTATCCCGGCTTCATGTGCGAGTGCCTGTAGGGTCGATAGCAAGGCCAGCCTATCGTGTTTTGTGCTTTTTCTCGGTGGGGTCGAGGAAAGGTATATCATGAAGTGGCTTTCCCGGTGGGGAGTTGACAAAAATTTCATCATTATACTATCACCGTCAAGTCGAAATGGGTGCAAATACTAGTGTTAAATCTGTCATGTCGCGGCCCCTCTTTGTCTTTCTCCTCACCGCTGCCGCGCTAGTTTCTGCCGCTCCTGTTGGCAGCCCAAAAACCACTACCAAAGTGGCAAGCGCTCTGGCCCAGGACCCAGCTGCGCCTGAGCCGGATAATGGGTGTGGGTTTCCGGGGAATCAAGATGTTTATGGGTTGGGTATTCGGATAGGCTTGTACGCTCAGTGGCTATCAACCTTTCTTTCCAACTGGCTGCATCAGACAAAAGTTACCAAGATGAGGGATGTCAATACATGTTTCCAGCTGGCCATGTTGACAGCGCTGTTGTCTATTTCGAACCAGGGTGCGACTCACGCTATTGATCCTTATATCATCATTATCCAGATCATTGGCTCTGTAAGTCATCTTCCTTTTCCTCATATCGGGCCGCAAAAGCAAACTAATGCCAAATTAAGGCATCAACAATCACCAACCACGCAACTCATAAATCCCAATGGAACAAAACCACTTGGGGTGGTGTCATCCGTTTCTTCATTTACTTCGCCGTCGCCGGCTACGCCACATGGTTCTGGTGGATGGGAATCGATAAGATGGAACCAACCCCTTGTGGTACCAAAGCCTTTGCGTTCGTCGAAGCCGACCTCTGGGACTGGTTCCGCACCGCAAACAAGTACGTCTCCATAGTTTTTACGGTAATCTTCACTGTCCTCTTCGGATATACCGTCTGGAACTTCGGTCCGGAATTCTGGCGGCGAACGCCAATGGGTCGATACAGGAAATTGCCTGCAAAGGGGGAGCCCAGGGGAGGGGTTGAACAAGGCCTTCAGGAGATCACCTCCGGGAAGATGCCTAAATGGACTCCTGCGCTTTGTATTATCGTCTTGATTGTTTCGGTCTTTGCTATCGAGTGTGTAATTGTTTGGAATCAGGTCCGGGATGTCAACGACATGTTCTCGACGGGACAGTTGATCCCGTTGGTTGTGGGTGTTGGCGGGTTGATTCAGGTGCTTTATAAGATGACTGATGCCAATGTTCGTGTTCACCGGCCGAGCACTATGGCTGCCAGGGGTGCGCAAGCGCAAGTTCAAATGAGGGCAGGTTGGCCGGCTCAGTAGCAGACGGCATATAAGCTAGGGATGGGAGATCCGATGGATAGGCGTTAATATGGATGTGCATGGTAATAGAGTTTGTAATATAAACGTTATTAAAGATGTTCTCATGAGCTAGTTAGGCATTAAATTGGTTTCTCCCACTGCAGAATGCTTATTTCTCGAGTGATAATCTGTGAGAGTTGTCTTCGCGTCATGCGGCTCTGCTCCCTTGTGTGCGACATTAAAATAGTTAAGTTTCTCGTCAAGCGCTGATCACAAACTGATAGTCCCCCCACCTCTGCTCCCTCGTCTCGACCAAACAAGAGAGTAGCTCACTATGCTGCCCTATAACCATCCCGCTTCGTCCTCCGCCCCGCTACTCCCGCCAGCGCCTCCGGTATTCCACAACCACAAGCTCCCTTCGGCGTCATGGTTTTACCCATTTGCCGTATTCCTCCTTGCTGCCCACTAAGTGTGTTTGCCCTCAAAATACTGACTTTTACAGGGCATATTCTACCTCCTATTCCACCCTGAGTTGATGAGACCGCTCCTCTCCCGAATAATACCACTCCTCCTCCTCTCTATCGTAATCCTAAGCATCCTCTTCGCTACCGTCTACCTCCCACAAGTTGCGCTACTCACTCTTTTCCACGGACCCCTAGCATGGATAAATGCAGCGTTCATGGCCCTAACCGAAGCCGCGACGCTGATAACCTTTGTCGCAGAGAACTTCATGACAGAAGGCCAGATCGTGGATACCTTTGACGCTGTGCTTATACACGCGGCTGAGAAGTCTAACGATGCAGAGTTTAGAGAGCGTATTTATGCCCTTGTACACACTGCTAGGGATATTCATCTCGAGAGGGAGGGGGTCATAGCGAAGTTGGGGGAGCATAGGAAGAGTCCTTATCTGAGGTTTTCGTGTAGGCTTACGATGGAATTTATTTGCGAGCTCCCGTTGAATTTCATTCCGTTGGTTGGAACTCCGCTGTTTTTGATGTTACAGGGTAAATTTGTCCACTCTCCCGCTGCGCATTACTGCGCCGGACTGTGATTTGAGTGCTGATTACCACCAGGCTACCATCTCGGCCCACTATCGCATTACCGATACATTCAACTCAACGACTTACATAAAAAAGAAAAGAAGAAATTTATTGACCTTAATAGGTGGAGATACTGGCTGTATGTCCTTTCATATGACAAAGGTATTCCGAGTGCTAACCTTGTAAGATTTGGGCTGCCGCACGTCGGTCTGCAAGTTGTACCTGTATTAAGTATCCTATTCCTGTTCACAAGCGCCGCGGGGGCAGGTTTGTGGGCTGTGGAGGATCAGAAGAGGTTGTTTGATGGGACTGCTCGAAGTGGGCCTAGTGAATATCCCAGCGGCCGGGAGAGCGAGAGAAAGAAGAGTTGGTGGTGGTGAGAGAAGTAGGGAACAAGAATGAGAAACGAGAGAAGAAACGAGCACGATGTGCGATTAGTTCTTTTTTATTCACGCTTTTTTTGTTTGCTATTACCCTCAGGTCGCAATTCACTTTGAATTGCCCGCGACATATAATTTCTCTACGGTAGAATCAGGGCTTTGGCGCCTACTATCGCATTCGAACCCCCATCCCACACCAATGATCTTCGAGTGATGGGGCAATATCCCCCACGATATGATAATATTATACGTAGCTACCGCTTTACTCACCCCTCTTCCTATCCGGACAGAAAATATAGCCCTTATGCGTAGCAGGCCCGCCAACTCCTCACCTGTCGTACACACAAAGCCTCCCGGCATGCTGACTCGACGCCGAGATTGGCCGCTTAATTCTGGTATTTGCATCTACCGCGAGCTAGCTCGATGGCAGTCAATAAACTTCTCCCCAGTGAATGTTCGTGCTGTAGGAGAGGGGTATAAATATTACGGAGATCACATATATGTTATTCCCCTTCCTTCCTTCCATCTCCATCTCTGTCTGCACACACACCTCTGATCTTGCTTCTTCTCTCTTGGTGGGTGGAGGGGTTCCCGAAAGACTGCCCAAGGGCGAGTTATTTTCCTCCCGTGCTCCGTGGTCATGTCTGGTTTCTGGCACCCTTCAACCAGACGCTCTCTTTTCTTCTGTATCGTGAGCCTGGCTCTTCCTCTGCTGGGTAGGAGGGTTCTGGTGGATCTGGTAAATGCATGGTTCCTCTCGTTCCTTCTATCTATTACTCCTGGCTTTACCTTTTCGTAGCGAATTCTCTTCTTCTGTGTGGATGTCATTTCTGGAGGACTGAGGCATCTATTGTATTGGCAAGGCTTGGAGCTCTGCACGGAGTAGGTTCGTGGCGGGAGTGTCTAAGCCACCTGGGACAAAGTCCAGATCACCCAACACCTAGTGTGTCCAGTGTTGGAGTCACCTTGGTTTGGTGGTAACCGTCGCGGGGGTCTAGTACTTTCCGAGGGATCACAAAATGATCACCCAAGGGAGCAATGCGTTCCTGGGGAGTATACCTCACTGGGCTATGTGCTCCTCCCACACATGGCGGTCTTTCTTTTTTTCCCTCTCACTTTCCTCTTTCACCCACCGTACCACTCATCCATCCCGTTTATACCCCTTTAATTTTAGTATTATACCAGTGAAACGTTCTGCACTGGAGCATGCGGAAGGAATGCAGAGCCTAAGGCCAGTGGCAACAGATGGGAGATGGTACAAGTGGAGCATTTTCCTGCCAAGGTTTACAGTCCAAAGAAAGTAGGTTTTCAACTTATCAAGTAGATGGAGCCTAATAAGTAAGCCCACTCTGGCTTTGCACCTAAAGCGCTTGTTTCGTCGATCAAAATGGATATTGCTATTGGCTCTGAAAAGTCAGGTCCGGGCGCGGTGGAGTATGCTGAAGCCAAACCCCCACGAGGGTACGCCCCCTGGGCATGGAGATGGCAAAAGGTTGGTCATTCACCATCAGCTGGTAGGCTGCGTCCGATGAAGCCAGAAGCAAACCATCTTGTAGAAGGAAAGATCTGGCTTGCGATATTGGCAATTCCGCGTTCACTTATTCCCAACCGCTTCCTAGTGACTTGCCTGGGGTATCAGTCGATTGCTTGAGTTCCCTCAGAGCTCCAGAAGGGTTAGATGGCGAGCTTTTGGCTTGCCTCCAACCCTTACCTGCCCAGATATACGGGATACCCTTTTCCAGGACTTGTTTCTAAATAGCTGTGATCTGAAATGCGGTATATGGAATGAGTGGCTTGAGTGCCAAGAATGTGTGGCCTTTTGAATGAAGGCGGGTATGGAATGATAGCTGCGCCGGACTTGGAAATTCGTATATATATTGGCGCCCGTTATTTCTGTTCCAATAGCAATTCGAGGAACTATGATATAAGGGTTGACTTCGAATTTCAACAGTCTATTTGAGATTGTCGAGTGATCCTTTATGAACGAGATGACTATGCCTTATCGCTCCCTCTAAGCCGGGTCAGATATACCTACCGATAAAACTTCACTAATATAACGGCACCCTCTTACATCCTTGACTCTGGAATCTCCACGGAATATATACACTTTACGCGCCCTTGCCATCTCTCCCGAACCATCACGAAACAAACAACACAACTTACCCATCACCGTTCTCTTCTCTTCACCTTGAGTTATTCTTCTTCAAAATTCTGTTGACGAAAGCGACGACACACTTAATTTATTAATTTTTTTCTCTCTTCAAGAGCTTCTCCCTAGATAGTAGTGCCAATGCCATTATGGGGCTGTAGTATGGATAGTCGACAGCCCGACGAGGAATGCGGGGGGGGTTCAACCCGCGGTTCCCCTCCTGGATGGCTCAGTACTATCGCTACCCCAGAAGGATACTTTAGGGCTCTGTTTGCTCTATCTTTGCTACCGTGATAGTAAGTTATTGTTAGGAAATATTAGGAAATACCACTAGCGAGAACTAAAGGTACTGGAGATATGAGACCACTGTGATGGTCGATACTATGTACATGCGTAAAGTTCTGTGTTTGTGGGATAGATGACGTACATACCTAAGCATAAGACTGATCTGCCTGCGGGGACAGAACTTAGCAACTGAATCATTCTTTCTGTCTAGTCTTATACATTTTTTCTTTTCCTTTCTTATCTTGTTTAGTTACTCAAAAACAAGAATTGCATTCTCATCCTGGCAAGTCTCATAGTAACCGAATAAATATTGACAGGTTATGAGCCCGGTACAGTCGCTACCTCATGCATCAATCATCCTGCCAGATCAAGGACTGCTCAAGCACGCTACAATGAGCTCTTACTACTGTTCCAAGTATGCTGGTGAGATTCCTCTTCTCACTGATACAAACTATAATGTCTGGAGAAATGCGATCACTATTCACCTACAAGCAATCCGTCCATATGGTCATGTTCTTAGAACTACAACTCCTCCAACATCAGGGTTATTGGAACCAGGATCCAGTCAGCCGACTTCCACCCTACTAGATCCGCAGTCACTAGAAGCATGTAATTCCTACTATCAACTTGAAGCAAAGGCAAAAGGAGTCCTACTTGGCTCAACATCTCCAGCATTCAGACTATACCTAACTGGAATAACAACTGCAAAGGAGATGTGGAACACTCTAAAGAACCGTTTGGACAAGGCAGTCTCCATTAATGGCAGATTAGCACTCTGTCAACAGTTTCTCTCCGTATTACCGGTACCTGGACAGCTCTTAGGAGAGTTTATCTCAAAGCTTCACGATATCAGGCTGCAGCTTGCCGGCAGTGAGCAGCGTATCGATGACACTAGCTTCAAAGACAAACTTCTTAGCTCTCTTCCAACCAGCTATAACAACTTAGTGGAAATAATTCACGAGAGAGAAGCTGAGCTGTCAGTTGAGGACGTAATTCGAAAGGTTCAACAATTGGAAATCGCAAAGGAAACAGAAGTGAAGTCAGCAAATACCTCTCAGGCTTCCGGAAGTGCCTTGATATCAAGCTCCCAGAACTACTTCTCTAATGG